TTTCCACCTACATTGATTCTAACAAAACGTGACATGGCCTATGTAATCTTCGATTTATATTTTATTTAGGAATGATAACCATTTATTGCTGCTAAATACGAAAGTTTATTACACATAATTAAACCAATCAAAGTATAATCGGATAAATAAAAAATATAAAAAAAATACGGTATTATATTCATAACTGTGATCATGCTGTGATCATATTTATAAAGTGACAAATGTAAAAACTTCGGACCCCAAGAAAAAAATTTTAGTTTTCTTACTGAAACCACCGTACTATCGTTTAGGTTTAAATTTGCTCTGCTGTTCACAGTTCTGAGATCCAGTTTTCATGTCCTGGTCATCATCAGACATTTGAGATTTTGTGTTGTTATCGTGTGAACACCGTTACAAAAATGTATCGTATGTTTTATCGAATAAAAAACGTGCAGGATAATGCCGTGTGCACGAAGGCTAACGGGACGAATAAGTCGTGCGCCTGGTGGTAAGCGACACGCCTGTCCAAAACAGTTGCAGTGCTGCTCAGAGTTAAATCGTAAAGATCTGAGGGGCACTGCAACTGCGCCCGTCACTCTGAGACATAAGGTGACAAGTCCCATGTGCCTGTAATTTTACCAGCACCCTTACTCGTCAAAACCGGAACGCAGTAATGTGAGCATTATTACTGCTTGGCGGCAGAAATTGGTAAGGTGGCAATAATTCCCTGGACGAACTCTCTTTCACACGGAGCTTTACTTCTACTGTGTACAGTGAACGGTTATCATTTGTCCTATATTTATAATTTAATTATTTCATGATCTTCTTTTGAATGCACTTTATTCGCATATTGTAAATGACGTAGAGTGGCAACCATATGGGACTAAAGTAATCGAATATGCTGTGGTCATAGGTATAAGAAATGACTCATACAATAACTATATAAATATTTACCTCCCCAAACTAGCTTGTATCTTGTCAGTGAACATTTACATTTGTCTGTAAACTACGTTACTTTACAAATTATGTTCCATTACATACATATATACGCTGTGCCGGATTAACGTATATAAGCAGAACAAGCAACAATACAGGCGAACAGCATCACGTCTTAGGGGGCGCCAAATTCACAGTGTGCCTACTTTCTTTAGTATTATTGTGGTCGGATTTTCGGGTACTTTTATGCCTAAAGTTTTCCCATGCTTTTCTGTCATATTATAGGAGCGGCATCTTAAAAAAACAATTTTTATTACTTTAAATATCAGAATATTTTTTGTGATTATTTAATACATAAGATTTTGGCTCACACGTTCACTACAAAACTTCATAGGGCTATGGAACTGGATCTCAGTGTTGTGAACAGCTAGAGGCAATGGCTAGAAGTGTCAAACAATAGTACGATGGTATCATTTTTTTAAAGTTTTTACATTTTTTAATTTTTATATATGGTAAAAGAAATTTTAAAAGTTACATTAAATTACAAACAATATTTTAAACGCTTATTTACTTTTAATTTTATAGTTGATAATTTAATCAATACATGTATCGTTATTCTTTCAATGCAAAAGCGTATGTCGTGTCAGTCAGCTTCCGAATTATAGGTAAACAAGCCGAAATCCGACCTCTAATTACAACTAAATGTCAAGATTTCCTGTAATGTAACTTTGAAAAACGTTTTTCCAGTAAGTAGTTTAAGTAATATCTAAAGCCTTCAAATCTCCGGATAAGGCAGAAAATTGAATTTCGTTCACAAACAGTTTGTATTTAAAAAATCGAAAACTATACAGTTTGTGCTTTATTTGTCTTACCAATGTTTCGAAACAACGATAATTAATTACACTTCCAAATAAACTTTATTAAATAGGATCTTTTTATGCTGATTTTTGGTGAGTTGAAATAATTAAATAAAGACGGAGACTCTTTATAACACTAACTTGAATAAAACATTTATTTCCAGTAGTTCCATGTACTCTTTAATACAAACGACTTCTTCTAGCCTTTTTTAGTCAATTATATTTATCAAACTTTGTTGCCTTGCAAAAAAACCTTGTGAATGAGTGGAAAAAAGGAAAAAACCATCAAATTGGCGCAGCCAAATCACTTAATCCGGCTCTGTATGAACCATGTATGAACTGAATGTTGCTGTATTTTCGTTTTACGTACATCGCGTTACATTGCGTTATATGATGAGTTCTCTGAAGTATTTTGGGTTGTTTTATTGAATTTTGTTTGATGTTATGTTTCTTGCATCTTATTGTTGTATGTTTTGATTAGTAAGCTACAATGTCAGAAGCTTCGATTTGAGAATGCTGATTATTGCCCTCTATTTAATCGGTCGGTAAAAGCGGAAGTCCAATAGTAATTGATAAGTTCATGGTCTAATCTTACTGTTGCTGGTGTTAAAAACTAGTGCTACAATGTTTTAAAGTCGTGCGGAGATAGTTTAAAGTTGATTAATGTGATGTTTGATTGTTCGTGGAGCTCGAAGCAAAATTATTTAGAAAAAATAATCACTTTTCCGCGCTGAGACGTAGTTATGTTTTTTGAACTCGTAATTAGTGTATTCATAAATTTACTCAAATAGAATACCTCTTGTAACGTAACACACTCTTCTATTCATGCCGCTCTTCGTCCGCTTAATTCTATTGACACAGAGTCTGCACAAATAAGAAAGCCCAGGGCGGCGACTGCTTTATTTCTGGAGACGCCCCGCGATTTAGCCTTGCGCGTTTTCGTCACGTAGGTATTTTTCCTAATATCTGAGTGGTCCAAATCGGTTTAGTTGCGATTACCTATCTGGTCATGACAGGGCAGCCAAAAATAAATACCATTCGTTTGGTTATTATACATTTTTTTTGCTTTCAAGCATCTTTGCGTGTGTCGTTATTTTACTGGATAAAACAGGTTAACTATGAAATTGTCATTCTAAAGTTATGGCTACAATTAAATATAAGCTCTTAAGTGTAATAATTTAAAAAAAAAATATATGTAATCTTAGGAATTCTGAATTCTAATTCTCGTTTCAATGTCAATATTGAAACAGTCGCGGCAAAATTGCGGTGTAGTGTATAAAACTAGAAAAATGGGTACCCACCGCACGAATTGTCCCAGCTATAGCGAATGTTACTGAATCGACACAGAGAAAAAGCAATTTTAGACCATGTGCTTTGTTTGTTGAACATTTTTGATAAACGCAAACAATCAACTCAGTAGTTAAACGTTGGCGACAATCCTAAACAGAGATAAACATACCCATAAAAAAATATTAATAATTATTTCGTGGACTTGCCACAAAGTAATTTACCATACACAGCTCATAATATCTGGTACAACCATGACAGCTGATTGCTATTAAGCAAGCTGATGGCAAGACTTGCAGGGACACAACCACTGCCAATCAACCAATTTTCACCTCTACTCTACATGACAACGCTTGAGTGCATACCATCGAACAAACCATTCCCACCTTACATACCTATTTCTGCCGCCAAGCAGTACTGTGAGCATTATTGCGTTTCAGTTTCGAAGGTAAGATTGCTGGTGAAGTTATAAGCACATGGGACTTGTCAACGTAAGTCTCAAAGTGACAGGCGCATCATTATCGTGTGTTTTATAATCGAATAAACAACATGCAGGATAATGCCGAGTGAACGTAAGCTAACGGGACGAACAAGTCGTACGCCTGGTGGTAAGCGACACGCCTGTCCGAAACAGTTGCAGTGCCGCTCAGAGTTAAATGGCAAAGATCTGAGAGGCGCCCGTCACTCTGAGACATGATAAGGTGACAAGTTCTAAGAAGTCATGAGCACATGGGAGTTGTCAACTCTCAGAGTGATGGGCAGAGTGGCAGAGCCTCTCAGATCTATGCGATTTAAAGGTTGAATGGCACTGCAACTGTTATGGATATATATATGTTTACATTTAGTTAAGTACCTAAACAAATGGACTATAGAAGAAAATTATTTAGGGAAGTTAAAGTAATGTAAAAGTCAAATAATCACTGATTCGCTGTTTTATTATTCAATGGCAAAGAAAGTGTCGTTTTTTTTTTATTATATGCATATTCGTATGATATTTTCTTCGTTGGGACGCAACTGGATAACTTGAACAACGTTATAGTAGAAATTCTAATTAAAACGTAAAGCCATTAATAAGTAGAACCGCGAATGGAACCTATAAGGTTCAGGTAGCTCATATATTATAGCAGAGTTTCCAAATCAAATTAAAAACAACAAAATTAAATAATTCAAAATAGGAGTCACGATGCCAAAAACAAAAAGCCAAGACAAGTCTTCTCGTTTGATTCATAACAATAGGACTATTAGTTCTGATTAGAAAATAGCTTTAGTCCGTTTATTAAATCAAGCATCGGCGTATGAAATTTTAAAGAGGTTGACAATGTAAACAATGAGTGACTGATTGATGAGAGCGGAAAGTAGGACAAAGGATTGTCGTCGGCAGTAGTGCGCCCCATTAATATTTTCCGTGACAATATATCTAATCTCTATTGTACATTGATCACGGAAATAAATCAAACTGCAAATCATTTAATGAACACTTCTCGCTTCCAATAAAATTTTGATTAAAATTTTGATAAAAATTTAATCATTTTATTTCCCAATTTAGAAATTGTTAAGTTTTTCATATAAGATGTCTAGAGCGTAAATGATGGGAGATAAAATAATCTTAGGTGCTTAAGAATGGATCCAAAATGCATGTTTTAGTTTCTCAGCAACAAATCTAATTGTCGAGTTGCGTTGCCTTTAGTTTGAGTTACTTGTATTAAAAATAATATTTTTTTTATTTTATTAATATATAAAATTTGAGGTGCACCCGCCATTCTTTACCTCCCTTCTTTGATGTTGCTATAACTTCGTTCTAATGCACACACATTCGTTTAACCATAGGTACTAAATAGTACAATTTAGGAATATTTTTTGGTATTAATTTCGTCAGGATTCGTTTAAGATATTGACTGCCATTCTGACTCTCACCAAGCTCTCAACGTTTATTTGTTACAGTTGGCAACGTGAGCCAAGAACTGCTTATAAAGAACAACAAGTAACAATGGTGGCCGGAGCATTAAGCATTCTTGTTAAAGGATACAACAATAGTAAGTTAATATTACAATATCTTAGATGAGAAATAGATAAACAATTCTGATAATTTCCATAACCCGCTTTAGAAATTTTGGTATCAAACAAATGGTACACTATCCATCGGATGAAAAGTAAAGACAATGTCCAATACTTGATAGGTTCTATAAACAAACAATAAACTCAGACTTATTAAAATTTCACCAAGGGTTCTTCGATCGTTTGTATCGGTTCGTTTCAGTGTAAACTTTATTCCATATATGACGTTTATAGACGCGTAATCTGTACTAAGTATATTTATTATATTATATTATAAAGATGGTAGTTACCTTAATTAATTAATAAAGTATTTACGTGGACAAATCTTTTTTCTGCCCTATTTCCATTTAATTTCCTTCTGGATTGTCGTTGGTGAAATATTTAGGGCGTTTAGGTGTTTCTCGATATTGGTCCACCATGCAACCATCTTCCTCTTACACGGGGGGTTTTATATGTGTACACCAATCACCACCACCAACCTTTACGGAGTAACTTTCTTCTCTTCTGCTTAATATGGCCGTGTGGACAAATATAATATGAAGATAATTTGCATACTGTGGACCAATTAAACCATAATTTAAATTGTCTGATAAACGGACCTACGTCATTTATTTATATCAACAGCGCAGTTTACCGTGGATAAACACCAACAATTCAAATCCACCCACACCCAATTAATTATTCGAAGATAGTCACTTGTTCCGCATAATGTCATCCAATTACGCGATTGATAGGAGCAACCGACAGACAACAACAACGAAATTAATTAATGGGTGTATGCTGAGCCCAATAAATCGATGATTTGCTCGAAACAAAAGACTGCGAAAATTTATATATTTTGATATTGACAAATATAATATAAATGAAATACTTGAATTTTGAGTGTACGAAATAATATCAGTATAGGATACTCAAGAAATCTTTTATTATATAACGCTGATACTCTACAATCTGTAACAAAAATTAATTATAATATCGGTAAAATGCCATTTCAGGTGTAGTGTTTTAACTCTCTGTTAATCTATTACTGTAACGCACTGACGTTTGTTTAGGTTCAGTAGGTGAAGTGGTGTTCCGGTGAGAGGGCATGGAGGGCGCGGACGGGCACACAGAGTCGTCGTCTGACTGGCCGCTGGACGAGGCAGAGCAAGCAGGCTGGCTTTTCCTGCAGAACCTCACCCAGAATGGCACCGAGTGGAACATCACGTACTCCAACGGCACTTGGCGGCATTCGTCCGCGCCCTTTGACTCGCCCTCCGCACTCGTCCGCGCCGCCGCCAAGGCCGTCTTTCTTGGCTTGCTCATTCTTGCCACTGTAGTTGGTAAGTCTAGTATTCTGACTATATTACTATTCTATTATTCGGATTCTAATATCTAATTTATAAAGTATACACACGTTTTCTTCTCCATCAGGTAATGTTTTCGTAATAGCAGCGATACTGCTAGAGCGTCACTTGCGCAGCGCAGCCAACCAGTTGATCCTGTCCTTGGCAGTGGCAGATCTGCTGGTGGCTTGTCTGGTAATGCCACTTGGAGCCGTTTATGAAGTGGCTCAGCGCTGGACGCTGGGCCCTGAGCTCTGTGACATGTGGACTTCCGGAGACGTGCTCTGCTGCACCGCATCTATTTTGCACCTCGTTGCTATAGCGCTGGATAGGTGAGCCTTATTAAGTTCATTGCAACAAAATTTGGTGGCTTGGCTTTCATAAGTTGAAGACTAAACATTTGTACTTTTATTAACTCTGTATACTTTGTGTTTCAAGGTACTGGGCTGTGACAAATATCGATTATATCCATGCGCGTACAGCGCGAAGAGTAGGACTCATGATCATCTGCGTGTGGGTTGTGAGTTTCCTAGTATGCATCGCTCCCCTTCTGGGTTGGAAGGATCCTGATTGGAACCGCCGTGTTTCTGAAGAATTACGTTGCATCGTAAGTCAAGACGTCGGTTATCAAATTTTTGCGACGGCCTCGTCTTTCTATGTTCCAGTACTGATAATATTAATACTGTATTGGCGAATATACCAAACTGCCAGAAAAAGAATACGCCGACGGCGAGGGGCAACGGCTCGCGGAGGTCCGCCTCCCGTGCCCGCAGGAGGTGCGCTTGTTGCGGCCGGCGGCAGTGGTGGCATAGCGGCCGCTGTCGTCGCTGTCATCGGTCGGCCCTTGCCCACCATATCTGAGACAACCACTACGGGTTTCACAAATGTCTCATCAAATAATACAAGCCCGGAGAAACAATCGTGCGTGAACGGACTCGAAAATGACCCACCGACAACTGGGTACGGTGCCGTCGCTGCTGCCTACTACCCTACACTAGTCAGGCGAAAACCAAAAGAAGCCGCTGACTCTAAAAGGGAAAGAAAAGCGGCGAAAACATTGGCAATAATTACTGGAGCATTCGTAGCATGCTGGCTACCCTTTTTTGTGCTAGCGATCCTGGTGCCGACGTGCAACTGCGAGGTGAGCCCGGTGCTGACCTCGTTTTCTTTGTGGCTGGGCTACTTTAACTCGACGCTGAACCCTGTCATCTACACAGTATTCAGCCCGGAGTTCCGGCACGCGTTCCAGCGGCTGCTGTGCGGCCGCCGTGCCCGCCGCCGTCGCGCCCCCCCGTAGTCTCCTCACCCATTTATAACCCTGACTGACCTCGTCTAGCTTGAAACACGTTATGTTACCTTGTTACATTTTCAGAGATATATTTACACCCCTTTATTTTTTGTACATGATTAACGTGAATATTATTACCTGTCTAGTAATTAAATCACAAATTGTCATTAAATTCGTTTTATTGATTATCTCTTGCAGCTCAACGTTAGTAGGAAATATAAATGAAAACAAAATTACAGCTAAAGTCACAAAATTGTTCAAAAGCTCAGAACTGTTTTGTAAATGTCAAAGGTTATATAAACTGCTTTAATTTAATAATATGTAGACGAACACCTATCATAATACAATATGACGCGACATCTATCATTGATTAATAAATATTTATGTGGTATTAAACGAAAACCTATTAAGGAGGTTAGGTAAATTATAAAGACAATAAAAAAATCCTTTACCAGTGCTGAATAACAAACGCGGAAAAACAGACAAATTACATAAGCAGACAAAACCAGCTCGTCCTGTATCTATTTTTTTATCAGTTATACAAAAAGTTTGTTAACTACATAAAGTAACTAATTATACCCTACTTTTTATTCTGCTGATGTTGTGTTTTATGTAGTGCCTTATGATGCCGCCACTTCAGCCACTGGGACTACTGTACTCGTCACCCGTTGAACCAGTCAAGTTTTACTGAAAGCGATCTCTTCCGTGGTGTTCTCTGTCATTAGACACAATAATACTGAATACATATTTATACACTAAAGTATTACAACATAATATTATACGCAATGTACGCCAAAGGAGACGTGAAGTTATGGAAACATCTCATACAACATTATCGTATAAAGTCATCATACTTTATTATGAAACACTTGGTATAAAAATAATGAATTAATGAATGATATAGAACTATCATAACTCTTTGGGTTTAGAATAGTGTTACACTAATAATATTACAATGAGGAAGGCGCGTATAGACTAATATAATAACAGTTCTTATTACTGTGTTTTTAAACTTTTACTGACTACGCTCTTAGTTCAGTGAAAAATAGCGATCATCAAGTCGCTATTACAAGCTATTCTTCAGAAGTCACCGCATCATTACAGACCATAAACCTTCACAGTCCCATTAAACGCCGAAATGTCCATAAGCTTTAATGTCCTAGTGGGTAGCTAGCTTGTATATTAGGTGAACCAACCTGAAACGAAAAGTGTCGTAAAAACGCAATTAGAGAAAACACTCTTTAGATATTCTATGACAATAGTAGGTAATAAACATAACTTATTGTTAAAATCGCAAACGTAAAACCATGAACAAACTAAGTAGGTGCTTTGTGCTGGGTGTTCTAATGCCCCCGAGTGAATACCGTTTCTCTGTTATTCATAATACAGGAAATTTTCTAGTTTGAGACCAGGTATTGGTGTGGTTGTTTGGCACATTATTATTATTATTATTTTACGAATATATTTTAAAAATTACAATGAATTTTTGCATAGATTTTATATCAATTATTTTTAAAATAGTTCCTAACAAAAGTAACAGCAAATCTTTCCGTTACATATTTTTATTACTCGGTGCTAATGTTGTCGCAATCCAACTTGAGCATTACGTGTTTCTGGACAATAGAGTTTTTATTATTATTACAGTGAAGAAGATAAGTTTGGCAGTAATTTATGCTTATGTCGCTTAATAAACGCTCGTTTTTATTACGGTAGCTTTGTTAACGACCCGAAGTAATCATTCCAACATCATTCGCACTGTTTTTGCTAATGCAAAATGTACATATTGAAAAACGTGCTTTAATATTATAGTAAAGCGAGTTGTTGAAACGCAAACAATTGACGTCAATGATTATTTGATAAGTCTTTATAATGACCGACGAAAGAATCATCCCAGAGAATGAATTCCATTGAGCCATTGTTTATTTTTGGAACCCTCTACGACTATTGTGATATCTATAGACGATATCGAAGTGATTAAATGGAAACTACTCTTCATAAACTAATATAATAGAGCAATATTGCCGAAGTTATCGAGTAACACGATACTGTTAATAACATTCCATCGTGATATCTATTTAGAAAAGCCTTAGGATTGATCCCAGTTCGACGAGTGGGGCCGCGTGTAAGCACATTATCATTGTGTTACGACGGAAAAATGTTTACGCGAAACATCACAGCTCAAAAATACGGAGAAAATAATGTTCTTTGAATGCGTAAATGTAATCAACCAAAAGTAAACCATGGTTTTCATTCAGTCAATGTTATCGAGAAAATTTCATTTGTGCCGCAGAAAGCTCTTAATAGCTTTCTATTTCGAATACACAAAATCCTTGAATGAATAAAGTTGTTTCGAACGTTAACTGAGTCACAAATCCTTTTAAATCGTGTAAGTTTAGGGTTCCATTCGGGATTTTCTGTTCCATTTAGTTGGTGGGTTTGAGTAGTAGTTGGGGTCGGAGAAATGGTCGTGGACAGAAACAACAAACGCTCGCAGGGTAGTGACAGATGACAAACTGCCTACGCCAACAGTTGCACAGTTCGTCCATACGGTCGGGCCAAAAACAAGACCTCAAGTTGACCTCTTCACACATTCTGAAATACTTCTCACACTGATATACGACAAATGTTTGTTTACTCATCCCACAATAACTCCACGACCCCTTGTAACATATCTTAGCGGAGATTAAGACTACGTGATTTATGAAAATATCTAGAAAATTAATACAAATTTAATTATTTTCAACTTAGGTACGTGTAAATTTAGGTAAGTGTAAAGCGCAATATTCTAGCTTGTACCTAGGAGTTTTCATTAATGTAGCACACAAGACAATATAATACAATACCATAGTAGGTACAATCGATGCCCTAAACTACCTACGTACCTAATCCCCTAACCGACCTATAGTTTCTGAGAGCCTATTACGCATTCAACAGAAAAAATGTAAAGGAATTGCAGCTTTTTGGTTGATAATTGTATTTGTGTTAATTGAATTAAAGATCAAATTGGCTTAAACAGTTTCTTACAACGCCATTCACTATTGATGCGATAAGGAAGTCATACCAAAAATAATTTTACGGCTCACTTTGTTTAATACCTTTCTTCACACTGATCTATTCAGTAGGGCTAGTACGATCAGGGGCGACTTGCGCGAGAAGCGCGAGATACTGCTAGATTCCTATAGATAATAGCAGTATCTCGCGCTTTATGTCGCTCTCGCGCAAGTCGCTCCTTATCGTGCTAGCCCTGAAGAACCAAATAGAAGGTTTAGGGGTCAGGTATCTTGGAGCATCGACTTTCCATATTATCCAATAATCTAGAGATCAATTTCACTGGCAAGCCTAAACACATACTAAAACAAATAATAGACGTTAAACGTCAAAGTTCTGTGTACCGTATAACAAGATAATGAATAAAACAGGTAATGTTATAGCTCTAAATACACCTAAACTACGAAACTTGACAGCTTGATGACTACACACTATCCAGTTACGCTAAAAAGTACTGGCAAATTTTTTACAGTTCCTCTATCAAATGGGTAATTTTCAGATTAGTTTCCTCTACCTGATTTCGGTGGCAACTTTTATTATTTAAGTATTCAAGTATTTATTATTATTATAGTACACTCGAATATTAAATAACATTTATGACAATATTCTAGAACATTCAAATAATAAAAATTGCCACCGAAATTTGATAGAGAAAATTAACCTGCAAAATACTCAAATACCGTAGGAACTAATCTAAAATCTGTAGTTATCAAAATGCCATTTTTATGTAATTTTTATAACAAATAAGATAAACCATTGATTTTCAATAAGAATCAAACATCTCCTAACAATATTCAGCAGGATTCGAGAGACGTAAACTTTGTACCAAGTACCTAAATTTTAGCCTAAACTGGATTGTGGAGTGTATTTAGGACAAAATATTAGCACTTTAAATTATAAATGTAGGAATCAGGGATATTCTGTACTGTTTTGTCATGATATAATATATAATATATAAAAAAGGTTAATTTATGAAGTAAATAACAAATGTCTAAATTATTAATCGTTAAAGGAAAACGAGTGTCCATTATTTATGTTTAAAAAATCTTTCCATCCTCTTTAAATAATATGTTGTCGAAGGTAAAACAAATGTATGAAAAGATATTTTAATACTGGATCTTTTAACATAAAAATTGTGACTAAAGTCATTGTATAAAATTTCATAACTTTAAAATAGAAAGCGTAAATATTTTTAAAAAACATCATAAATCTTGCCAAAGTTGTGTTTTGGACACTCATTTTAGTTTTATTGCATTCTTTGTGAACAGCCACTATAAATAAAGATAAAACATCGTGAAATCACATTCATGAAAAAAGAATGCTTCCCTTCAGCTCCTAAAATAATATTTGCTCTGTACTAAGTGGTAAAGTGTAAAATATGTGGGTGCTCAATTTTCATTGCTCCTAAAATTCAAGTCTGCTACGAAATGTTACACTGCAGGCAGACTTTGATTCCACTGGGATTACCGGACATCCACAACAAAATTTGTAGGCGTCCTTTTAATTTCATCCATAATATGTTCTTTCGCTAGACGCAAGGCTTTCATAAGTCTATACACAAATCGACTGTACCGCCCCCAGCAGCAATGTGAGCATTATTGTGTTTCGGTTTTGAAAGGTAAAGGTGCTAGTGGAATTACAATCACGGGACTTGTTAACTTATGTATCAAGGTGACGGGCGCTTCGCTCTTCAAATTTTTGCGTTTTATAGCTCTGACTGACTGCAACTGTTATAGACAGGCGTGTCTTTTACCACCAAGCCCACGAAGTCGTGACGAACAAGTGTTCGTCCCGTCACTTGGTTTCATGAAAACAGGTGTTCATAACGTCCCAGTTTATGACCACAACTCACCCTTTTTTTTGACGGATCCCCCCCGTCAAATCTTTCTTTCTTCATCTTTCGTCAAGATCTTTGTAGATACCCCTGAGCCCAGGGAGACTCAGGGGTTATCTGGGGACTGGAGGGCCTATCCTACTGAAAGCCCCGGGTTTACCTCTCGCTGGTTGATGAACATTCACCACAACGCCGCCCGGCCGCCCTAGCTTGCGCCAGGGCTCCCGCGCCAAAGGAGGGGCAGGTCAGTTGTCCTCCGACCCGCCCCCCACGAG